ATTGAATTATAGCCATACTGGCCTTCACTTGTTATTGAATTATAGCCATACTGGCTTTCACTTGTTATTGAATTATAGCCATACTGGCCTTCACTTGTTATTGAATTATAGCCATACCGGCCTTCACTTGTTATTGAATTATAGCCATACTGGCCTTCACTTGTTATTGAATTATAGCCATACCGGCCTTCACTTGTTATTGAATTATAGCCATACCGGCCTTCACTTGTTATTGAATTATAGCCATACCGGCCTTCACTTGTTATTGAATTATAGCCATACTGGCCTTCACTTGTTATTGAATTACAACCATATCGGACTTCACTTGCTACTGAGATTCCAGCTCCTGATAATAACAAAACAAAATACACAGAGGATTTGGAACAGCAACACATAATAATTGAAGCGCAATACGAACACAATGGGAATTAAAGAAACTCCAGCATTGTCATCATCAGTATAGTGGAGTTCATCACCACCACCACCAGTATAGTGGTGTACATCACCACCACCAGTATAGTGGTGTACATCACCACAGCACCAGTATAGTGGTGTACATCACCACCAGTATAGTGGTGTACATCACCACCTGCACCAGTACAGTAGTCCACATCGTCTATGACTACAAACAACGTTGATTCTGCCTCATATTAAAAATGATGAATACAACTTGACAACTCCAACTATGAATGCAGAGTAGTTTTTAAGGTTAATTAGTTATCGACATCCAGGATAATTAAGGTTTAGGACCGGTCGACCTTTAGAAACTGCGCAGAGAAGGTTGACAAAGTTAATCCCACGGCTTAGAAACCTCCCTTATGAAGATCTTAAGAAAAGTTAATTTACATTCTCTAGAAAAGTGAGGCGCAGGGGGGAAAAAGTGACAGATATGTCAAAATCTTGCTCGGAATTTGTTCATTAGTCTGCTGAGACAGGGGATGTGGTGTACACTGGCATTGATGTCTTCGTCTTGTTGAATGCATCTAAGAATGCATCCACCTGGCTGATGACAGGTGGATGAGAGTGTTTGATGTGCAGTGTATCTGTGTCGACAAGGAACACTGTAAATATTCGACAGGTACAACGTCAGTTGTGAGTGAGATATTGTCGAAGTGTACATGTATGCTCTTTTGCAATTATCAACTGTCTGCTTATACGTACATTCATCCTACCATTGTCAAAGTCAAGTTATATATTTATATATATATATATATATATATATATATATATATATATATATATATATATATATATATATAAATTCAATTACTGACCTTTGTTACTTAGTAAAAAACTAAAAGCAACACATCTCGGTGGGAAAAGTTTAAGATTTGATCTTGTAAAGAAGGAATAACGAGCCAGAATAACCAAGCCAGAGTTGTGTCGTTACCAACAGCCAACGTACAATAAATAATATTAATGACTCAATGTGACACTGAAAGTTAAAAGCACATCGTTAATGGTGGCTGAATGGATTTTTAGTAAAGGAACACCAGGAAAATTTTATTAAGTGTAAAATACTTGCAATAAATCCTATGGAAATTGGAAAAATGTCAGCAATATAATATACGTAGTAATAATCATAGGTATGGTGTATTATATATGCATTATAACGAAGACTTTGAACTAAACAACAACAAAAGCAATAATGATACAAATATATATAATGTTTGATAATGGATTGTTTAAAAATTACTTATTATTATTTTTAGTATGATACGAGTAGATTTTACATTTATTCTCTTGTTTGATATTAATATTTTATTATTATTATTATTTGTAATTTTCACATTGTTTGTTAGTTATCTTAGTTGCCGATGGGTATGTTAGAAATTTATTGAATACCCTAATAAATTATTAGCCATTAATTGTTAAGATGTTTATATAGTAAAAGTCACTATATGTCCTTTTTGCTGACCTGTTTCTAAAAGAGTTTCATTAAATAATATATGAGGGATCTTCTTGAGAGGTTATCTTGAGGTTATTTCGTGGCTTAGCGTCCCCGCGGCCCGGTCTTCGACCTGGCCTCCTTTTTGTTACCCCCAAGAAGCAGCCCGTAGCAGCTGTCTAACTCCCAGGTACCTATTTACTGCTAGGTGAACACCTGCATCAGGGTGAGGGAAGCTCTGTCCAGTTGTTTCCCCCTCAACCGGGAATCGAATCCGGAACCCCAGGACTACGAATCCCGAGCGCTGACCACTCAGCTGTCAGGCCCCTGGGATGGGACGAACGTCAGAATAGTTCTGATCAACCAAAGATAAAGTTTATATTGTTGTCACAAGTGCTAACTCTGGCGTGATTACTCAACAAGCAGTGATAGTCATCAGTGGTGATATGTATATTGTGGATTTTGCCAAATATTCACAGACAACCACATCTCTTTAATCTGGACGTAAATCCTTCATCGGGGGGATTACTTTTACCTTTATGATGTTTGTCCAGTGATTTTAGACACACCATTAACAGGAACCAAATGGTTTTTCTGTGTACTTTTTGACAAAAAAATAAAATCTAGTTGCAAAGCATTAAACACCACTTAGCATTTGGGTGATGTTGGACTCTTTGCAGACATGCAAATTTCAGAGTGGATTTAATCGCAACATGTTTCTCATGTTTAAAAGAAATTAGTTTCCGGTTAATTACTATTAATATTATTATTGAGAAACTTACTACAATAATGTAGTGCTTGAAGGGAAGCAAATCAGGGGAAAGCGCCAAGCCATTACGATTATATAGCACTGGGAAGGGGTCAGGATACGGACTAGGGATGGGACGGAGAGGAAGAAATAGTGGACAACCATTTGGACGGTCGGGGAATGAACGCCAACCTGCATGAAGCGAGACCGTCGCTCTACCGTCCAGCCCAAGTGGTTGAATGAAGGTGAAGGAAAGACCCAATATTTGGTTAAGTGTATTAGAACCAAATTTTGGGATGTAATCTCCATCATTCCTCAAGATGCTGTGAACAATGTTCATAAACAATGAACATCGTTCACAGCATCTTAAGGAAGGATGCATCCGAAAACTTGGTTTTAATACATGAACACAAATAACGAGTTTTTCCTTCATCTTCATTATTATTATTATTATTTCATTCACCTGGACTCTAGGAGACTCGAACCATGGACCCTACACGTGTGTGAGGCCGAAACTCTATCGACCGAGCTATTGAGTAGTCTTAATAAGAAAAGTTTGCAGGTTTTATTTCCACGGAATGTTTATTTCCAAGGAAGTGTGGATGACAATTTATTATTATTATTATTATTATTATTATTATTATTATTATTATTACTATTACGATTATTGTTGTTCTGAGAGTGAGGATAAGCGTTTTGTGGATATTTTAAAATTCAGCCCAGTCACATCGCTTCTGTTTTGTAGAGTCTAAATATACGATACTCTCAATTAAGATATCAGCTCTCACTGTCGGAAAACCCGACACCATTTACTAATATTTAATACAATAGGCAGATAATATTGTTGCTGTTATATACGCAAGTTAACTCATAGAAAATGTAGCTTGTAGTGGAATTTTACATCAATAGGAAACGGGATATCATTGCCACATAGTACTATAAATTCTCCAGCTATTCTGTTGGGAATTATAGTTAATACAGTAAGTAGTCTTTGGACTTTTTACATCATAAAAACATCCCATTTGAATTAACATAATTATCAGTATCAAAATATAGTAAATGTGACCCTTCTATCACTTATTGACATCTGGACAAGGAGAGCCAGGCGTCAGTGGTGAGGAAGGTCAGCCATTGTTAAGACCATAGTGACTGGAGCAAATTCAGCTTCTATAAATTCTCCTTTAGACGAAGTGTTATGAAGATCAAATTAGTGCTTCTTCCATCATCAACACGCAGTCAACATCTAAACAAGGGAAGTGTCTTACCGAAACCCTATTATGTAATCATTTCTGGCCAGTTAATATTAAGTAGATATAGGGCGAACCGGTTAAGACACTCGACAAGCCACTAAACACAGGTAATTAGTCCTTGGTCCTAATCTAATAATATATAAATGTCTCATCTGATATAGCTGTCATATATTAGGATTCCGGCTTTACAGCTAGTGCTCTTTGACAGGAACAAGAAGAGGAAAACAAAAATTAATCTTGGTACATCAGTTACTTGGTTGGTGGATGCTAGCCTCACCCAGAGGATTATTTAGTGTCTACATCCTATTTATACTTGGTGGACTAGGCCTACCATACAATAAGATAAGGCATCTCCAATATATATTTACAAATATATGTAGTTTAATACTGTAGTTTGATTGGCTGCATATATAAATTTAATATAAACCCCCCTAATGTGTAAGGGTCGATTTGTGAGAAATATTGCAGAAATAGTCCACTAAACATCATACAAATTGCTATGGAAATATATAAATTAACGTAAATATAAATTCTATATAAATTCATATAAATTTCACAGTTCGGTTCCCACACTCAGCGCCAAAGTATATAAAATGTTCCAGCAATATTCAAGATAAAAACGCATGTATCCTCTAAACAACAAGACACGTGTTTCATATCGTTGTCATCTGAGGTAATCAAATTGACGCCCTTCTATTCCCTCTAAATCTGTTTCTCACAAAGTTTCTCTTATTGTCTCGTAACAAGAAGTTTATCGAAGATCTTCCCCAACACCTTCAAGAAAGTTGGGAAGTTCTCCATTGATGTCTCGCTATTCTTTGTGTCCACAACTACGGCACCGATCTTCTTCAAGATTAATTTTGGATTTGCAGTTACGCGTGCCATGGGGGTCGGCAGTGTACCTGTAGGTGCACCTGTACATATGGTAATATGTTGGATTATATTAAAATACATATTAAATGTTTTTTTATTCTTTACATTTGTAATGGTACATTCAAACAAGCTCTGGTATTAAGAAGGAGTATAGGATAGACTAATCTGGCTCAGTAGACATGGGGGTATATCAGTCTGGCTCAGTAGACATTGGGGAGTATATCAGTCTGGCTCAGTAGACATGAGAGGTATGTCAGTCTGTCTCAGTAGACATGGGGGGGTATATCAGTCTGGCTCAGTGGACATGGGGGGTATGTCAGTCTGGCTCAGTAGACATTGGGGGTATATCAGTCTGGCTCAGTAGACATGGGGGTATATCAGTCTGGTTCAGTAGACAGAGATAAATCAGTCCAGCTCAGAAGACAGGTTTATATATACTTCAGGCTCAGTACACAATGGAGTCGATCAGACTCAGTAGACATGCAGAGATCAGTCAGTCTGGTTCAGTGGACAGGGATAGATCAATCTGGCTTAGATTGATCAAGGGTTGATCAATCTATCACAATTAAGAGGGGGTTGAGCAGATGAATAAGACAGATGTACCAACTTGCCTCTTGTATGCAGATTGAAAGAGAAGTGGTTCATCCTGCACTACAGTAGTGAACTACTAGATGGCTACTGAGCCATTATGTCTCCTCACTGGTGGCACAGTCACCAGGTGCGCTAGTTTCTGCTCAATATTAATAATGTGTCACCAAACTGCCCTACCCGCTGACTCCCTCATAACATAATTCTTTCATTCTGTCACCGCTAGTTAATTACCCATTTTTGTTGTCTTACATGCTTGCTCACAGTATTATAGAGAATCTTCATTTCGGTGGATTGGTCTTGTCGTATTTTAATAATAATAATAATAATTACTATTTTTTAATATTTAATATTATTATAATGATTTTTTTATTATTATTTGAATTATTATTATTATTATTATGGTCATGTCACTGCTATGTAAAATACGATAGAGTGGCGTAAGGTTGAACATTTTAGCTTAACAAGTTTTACAAGTATCCAGTAGATAAAATTATCTCAGTTAAGAAGCTGGGAGAATGAGGGTTGGCCAATGACTACTAGAGTTGACGAGAATGTTGGGGCAAAAGACTTTGAACACATGAACGGTCCTCACTAAGACGTGGTATGTGTCCAAGGAATGTTGAATTGTTCAGCATGTGTCGGCGGCAACCATGCAGACCTTGTCATACAAAGTCTTGGGATGTTGGTGTGGGGGAGTCGCCTGAGTAGGGGGATGTTGGCGTGTTTTATACAATGTTTTGAGTAGCATAGGTATAATGGAAGTGTAAATGCTTAAAATATTGAATTTCCTTTTTCCTCGTATGGTCCTCTATTTCCTCCAGTCTATTGCCTTCCCCACCTGGTAGGAAACGAGGTAATAATAATGATAATTATCATCGTTGTATAACAATTATTAAATGTTGCTAAATATTGAGAGCAAGCAACAGACACAAATAACAAATTAAGTGCAGCTAACACAGACCACAGCAGTCGAAGCCTGTAATACAAATATCACAAAGTATAACCCATAAATAGATTCTTACGTCAATAAAAATGACATTAATAACAGTTTGCCGTATATAATGTTATCATAACATTGGTTCAGAAAGAGACTTTGAAGCTTCGAGGCGCCTCTGGTGAAGATTTAATTAAAATCCTTCAGTGTCTGTCTACCTATAAGCAAGGTTATATAAATTATTTCATATATATTCATCGTTGAGATTGAGAATTACGATAAATTGGGACAACATTTAAGGTTTAAAACTATATCCTCATTGCACTTTTTTAATTTAAAAAAATGCCGACAAATATATATAAAACAATATTAATATCGTTGATGAAAAAAATATTTATATACAAAAACTATTAGGTAGTTTATGGTAATATGAAATTAATGGTGCATATATATATTTATTTTTATCATCATAGTAATTATCTCTATATTGGCTCGTTATGGCCTATTTTATTTTAAGTGAGCCCTTGATGGAAAGCTTTACAGTTTATGGGAACTGATCAGTGGAGGTTAACAAGGTTTCAGACCCACGCAGTGCTGTGTTAGTGTTGTTTGTAGCGAGAACACAACCTTTTGGACCAGAGCACCAACACGTGCAGCAACACCCATGGTTCGTGCAGCAACACCCACGACAGGTTAACATGGAGGGAGTTAGGAGGGACAGCCCCCGGACGAGTACCTTTATTATCAACATCTACAGTTGTGACAACCCCAGGATGACTGGACAACTACGGGCTCACCATAGACTGTGCTACTTGTTACTTTTTGTTCCAAGTAGCGAATCTATAACAACAACATCCCCGCGGGGAAATCGCCGGCCGGGAATGGGAATGACCAGGTCAAGAGGTCAAGGAGGATAAGAGGACTGGATCCTGGTTAGCAACCGTATTGCCTAATGATCTTAGTGTAGGAAGGCTTAATTAGGCCTACCTACACATAGTTGCCTAATGACTTAACTAGGACTATGTACACAGCGTAGCGTAACATCCTCACTAAGCCCTAACAACGTTTAAAGCCTGTCATAATCATTTAAGCATAACCTAGCCAATCCACCTAACTAGGTCTAGCGACATACGAAATCTAGCCACCCACCCAAATAGGTTTCAACCAGCTTCGAGAACCAGTCTTATTCTCGTAGCTAAACCTAACAGTGGCAGAGTTATGCAAACAATTTTACATTAGAAAATAATATAATGTTGCGTTGTTTACACTAAGGTGTTATAATGAGTTACGTGTTTGTTGACGTGACTGAACTGTTGATGTCTCCCCAGATGTGCAGCCGTCCCTCGCCGCCCCGCAACACAACTTGACGGTGGCCGCGGGCCGTAAAGCCAAACTCACTTGCGTCGTGGAGAATCTCGGCAGCTACAAGGTGAGTCAACATTATGGTGAGCAACATACAATGTGAGTAGAGGTGGAGAGCTGAAGGAACAGTAAGTTGTACTATTGAGCATCTGGAAATCTTTGGACACAACAAGGGGAAACCTTTGAACACAACATGGGGAAATCTTTGGACACAACAAGGGGAAATCTTTGGACACAACAAGGGGAAATCTTTGGACACAACAAGGGGAAATCTTTGGACACAATAAGGGTAAACCTTTGGACACAACAAGGGGAAACCTTTGGACACAACAAGGGGAAATCTTTGGACACAATAAGGAAACCTTTGGACAACAAGGGGAAATCTTAGGGGACTCAAACAAGGGGGGAATCTTTGGACACAACAAGGGGAAATCAACTTTGGACACAACAAGGGGGGAAATCTTTGGACACAACAAGGGGAAATCTTTGGACTCAACAAGGGGAAATGTTTGGACACAACAAGGGGAAATCTTTGGACACAACAAGGGGAATCTTAGGACTCAACAAGGGGAATCTTAGGACTCAACAAGGGGGAATCTTAGGATTCAACAAGGGGGAAATCTTTGGACACAAAAAGGGGAAATCTTTGGACTCAACAAGGGGAAATCTTTGGACACAACAAGGGGAAATCTTTGGATTCAACAAGGGGAAATCTTTGGACTCAACAAGGGGAAATCTTTGGACTCAACAAGGGGAAATCTTTGGACACAACAAGGGGAAATCTTTGGACTCAACAAGGGGAAATCTTTGGACTCAACAAGGGGAAATCCTTCGAATAGCGAATGAATTTAATGAATGCATTTATGAATGAATATCTTTCTAAAATGAATTCATGTAATAATAGTAATCCCATTCCTAATTATGGTAAGTGATGTTATCAAACTTTGGAAACTATAGATTAGAGTAATGTAGAGTGCAGGAGGCGGCACAGAGACAACGAACTAAATGTGTGTTTTCGAAGACAAAGTCATAAAAATGAATACAAATCAAAATCATATCCCACTAAAAGTAACGCATTGAATAGGACTGTTGGTTCGAAACTATAAGTACCCAGGTGAGATTGGCCGTACCTAACCTTGGTATATTGGGGCGAGAGTCTGAGTGAGCCAGTAGAGCTGGTGCATAATAGCCCCCCCTCACCTGACACACTTTCACCAAGCCCAATAGAAAATGGAGTAATTTAAATGGAAACTGGTCTCGTGAAGTTTATCTCGCTCTCTCCACTAAGTGATTCCAACAGTCAATTGGCAAAGTTTATTCTTTTCATGGAATGGTTGAGAGAGAGAGAGAGAGAAACAGAGAGAGAGAGAGAGAGAGAGAGAGAGAGAGAGAGAGAGAGAGAGAGAGAGAGAGAGAGAGAGAGAGAGAGAGAGAGAGAGAGAGAGAGAGAGAGAGAGAGAGAGAGAGAAGAGAGAGAGAGAGAGAGAGAGAGAGAGAGAGAGAGAGAGAGAGAGAGAGAGAGAGAGAGAGAGAGAGAGAGAGAGAGAGAGAGAGAGAGAGAGAGAGAGAGAGAGAGAGAGAGAGAGAGAGAGAGAGAGAGAGAGAGAGAGAGAGAGAGAGAGAGAGAGAGAGAGAGAGAGAGAGAGAGAGAGAGAGAGAGAGAGAGAGAGAGAGGAGAGAGAGAGAGAGAGAGAGAGAGAGAGAGAGAGAGAGAGAGAGAGAGAGAGAGAGAGAGAGAGAGAGAGAGAGAGAGAGAGAGAGAGAGAGAGAGAGAGAGAGAGAGAGAGAGAGAGAGAGAGGGAGAGCGAGAGGGAAGTATATAAAATACATCTCCCGCAGCAAAAATGAAGGACTCCGAATGAATATCACTCAACACAATGGAGCAGTAAAGATTGTTTCCCTGCCTGTCCTAGTGAGGGCCTCACCCCAACCCCCCAAGCTCTCTCTCACTCGTTCAAATGCGGCACTTTATCTTTTGACGCACAAAAAGTTCATGCGTTTTGATGGCTGCCGATGAAGTTGGACTAAGGATGTACACTAATGGTAGATGTACTAAGGATGTACACTGATTGCAGCCGCAGTAAGGATGTACACGGATGTTGCATGCACTAAGGACGTACACTGATGGTGGACGCAATAAGGATGTACACTGATGGTGGATGCACTAAGGATGTACACTGATGGTGGATGCAATAAGGATGTACACTGATGGTAAACTAACTTCATTAGGGAATTAGGAGAGCAGTCTGGCGGTGGCACACAGCACCTCTCTCGTCCCAAGTAACCTTCACTCCTACCTTCAGAAGACCCCAAACTTGCTTTGACCTGACGCGTCTCCCGCTGCAGGTAGCTTGGACACACTACGGGCTGACGGGACGTGCCGTGTTGACCGTGGACTCCGTTGTCATCACCAAGAACCAACGGGTGTCCCTCCAGAAGGAGCGAGGTGGAGCTTCCTGGTCTCTGCTTATCAAGAATGTCACCACTACCGACATGGGAGAGTACTTGTGCCAGGTTAACACAGTCCCGCCACAGAAACTCTACTTCCACATCACCGTCGTAGGTGAGTGAAAGCACTCTGTTGCTTGTGACTTTCCCTGGCTTCTTTCATTATTAATTTTTCTCTCTCTGTCTCTTGATGTTTAATTATGTTTCTATATGCCGTTCTGTCTCTCTCAAAACTTGCTGCAAGCACAGCCACTGTGTTTTAGTTAGTTTTATAAATAAATTTGTATGTATGCACAATGTTCCTCCAAGTACAACCGCACGTATATGTACGTGTGTATAGTGTTCCTTTATGCAGAATGGATGTATATTTCTTGATAATATATAACGACTGTATACTGTTTGTTCATGTCCAAATCATGCATACTGTTTGTTTATTTACAACGTATGCACACTGTTCGATCATAAGCTAAATATGTATCCTGCTTGTTAATGTGTAAAACGTGTTCATGTCCAAGACATGTATACTGCGTGTTCATGTCCACGACATGTACACAGCGTGTTCATATCGCAAACATGTTCATATACTACATGTTCATGTCCAAGACATGTATACTGCGTGTTCATATCCAAGACATGTATACTGCATGTTCATATCCAAAACATGTATACTGCTTGTTCATGTACAGTATGTACTGCTTGTCGTGTGCAACATACACTCCTGCAGACTATGAGTCACAACAACGTGGGTGAGGATAAGATGACCAAACTACACAACTGAAGATGAGGAGACGACGACGTTTCGCTCCGTCTTGGACCATTCACAAACTGTTTCACATACGACTTGATAATGGTCCTGGACGGACCGAAGTGTCGTCGTTGTTTCTGGTGTGTAGTTTGGTCATCTTGCTCTTCTCAGCAAGGCACATGTGGGCATAACCATTTAGCTTGACCCTTGTGTCTTTCCGTGCCCGTGTGGTGCCCACAGTGCCACCGGTGATAGTGCGGCCGCCAGAGGACGTGACGGTGGCTGAAGGTGACGACGTGACGCTGGAGTGTGACGCTACAGGTGACCCTCACCCCACCCTTACCTGGAGAAGGGAGGACGGAGCGCCCTTCTCCTTCAACCACACCAGAGGTGAGACGGGAGAGAGAAGGGGACGGAAGGTGCATAAGATTCTTTACCTCAATCCCTTTAGGGTCAAAGAGAAGGGAAGGGCGAAGTCAAAGTGGGATAAACGGATTAATTTTAGTTCCCAATTCAACCATGGAAGCACTACAGTAAGAGGACAATCTCAGAAATGTTCTCATGGAAGCTGTGCCATAAAACACTACCATCAAGGAACAGTTATGGTAGGACTGACATATGTGGGTAACTATGGGGACTTTCGCATGTGGACCACTGATGCATGTTGGCCTGGGGACCATTCAAGCTTGGAATTATTCTAGCTTGGGCACCATTCAAGCTTGGGGACCATTCAAGCTTGGAACCATTCAAGCTTGGGGACCATTCAAGCTTGGAACCATTCAAGCTTGGGAACATTCAAGCTTGGGACCATTCAAGCTTGGAACCATTCAAGCTTGGGACCATTCAAGCTAAGGGACCATTCAAGCTTGGGAACATTCAAGCTAAGGGACCATTCAAGCTTGGGATTATTCAAGCTAGGGACCATTCAAATTTTTCACGAGAGCTGGCAGGTGTTGAGCTAAGAGTCAGACGACTTTTGTACAGTCAGCTGACAGAGTGGTTATAGTACTGGATATGACAAGGAGGCATGGAGGCCCTGGTTGACCGGGTTCGAATCCTTCAGGGGAGAAAAGTAGTCTGGTTCACATTGAAATAGGGACCATTCAAGCTTGACGCATATATATATATATATATATATATATATATATATATATATATATATATATATATATATATATATATATATATATATATATATATATATATATGGCCTGGGGTATATATATATATACTTACCTAATTGTGCTTGTGGGGGTTGAGCTCTGGTTCTTTTGTCCCGCCTCTCAACCGTCAATCAACAGGTGTACAGGTTCTTGAGCCTATTGGGCTCTGTCATATCTACACTTGAAACTGTGTATGGAGTCAGCCTCCACCACATCACTTCCTAATGCTTTCCATTTGTCAACCACTCTGACACTATAAAAGTTCTTTCTAATATCTCTGTGGCTCATTTGGGCATTCAGTTTCCACCAGTGTCCCCTAGTGCGTGTGCCCCTTGTGTTAGATTGCCTGTCTTTATCTAGCCTATCGATTCCCTTGAGAATCTTGAATGTGGTGATCATGTCCCCCCTAACTCTTCTGTCTCCCAACGAAGTGAGGTTTAATTCCCGTAGGCTCTCCTCGTAGCTCATACCTTTCAGCTCGGGAACTAGTCTGGGGTCAAACCTTTGAACCTGTTCCAGTTTAGTCTTATGCTTGACTAGATATGGACTCCATGCTGGAGCCGCATACTCCAGGTTTGGAGTTCTATAGGTTCTTATGTTAGCCAACATAACATATGTGTGTGCACATACACACACACACATATACACTTGTCAGTTTTAAGTGTAGATATGATAGAGCCCAATAGGTTCAGGAACCTGTACACCTGTTGATTGACGGTTGAGAGGCGAGATCAAAGAGCCGGAGCTCAACCCTCGCAAGCACAGTTAGGTGAGTACACATGTGTGTGTGTGTGTGCGTGCGTGCGTAAGATATACGTGTGTGGGAGTATTTGTCAATTTTCTCCCTCGTCTCTACACATCTCCACCGCAGAAAACAATGAGTTGATTCCTCACGCTTTCTCCCCCCCCCCCCCCCCCGTCCCCATCCCATCTCTCTCCCACCTTCCTCTCCCACCTCCCTCCCCCCCCCCTCCCTCAACAAACCACTCCCACCCTAACATAACTCCAGTCGCCATTCTTTACGGGAAATATTGCACCGTGCATCGTAGTTCCTCCCATGAATTCTCCCTTTTCGCTTTTGCATATTGGTGGGGCGGTGTGTGTGTGTTGGCTCAGTCTATCACCGCCGCCCACCCCAACTCTTCCATGCAAATGATCACCTGAGTTACTTCTCCTTACGTCTATTGTCCTTCTTTATCTGCCTACGTCCGGCGCCCAGGCTTTTGTGATCGGTTCTGCGCCTAGGGGGTATGTATATCTATACTCGTTCCTTGTATTTATTCACGTGTCTTTATGTATTCTTGTTTAAGAAAATATATGTATTTATTTTTTTAGGTTCATGTATGTGCTTCTGGATCACTTCCTACTTGTTAGTCGAGCTAAAAAAGACCGCATAAAGCTTCCATAATTGAAAACTGAGGCTTTACTACCCTCCTCAACCCATCCTCAGCCTGTGCTCGTCCAAGCGGTGAACGACCCAATAGCACTGTTTGAGACTATGTGATCAAACTCGACACTTTCTCCAAGACACTTTTATTTTATTAAATACTAGCAGTACCCGGCCACAGCAACTTTCCCCTGTCCCCCAATCCTCCCCATTTCCCCCATCCCCTCGTCCTCTCCACCATTCCCCCCTCCTCCATCCCCTTGTGTTCCCCACCATTACCCACTCCAATGTCCCCTCGTTTTCCCTACCATTCACCACTCCACCATCCTCTCGTCCTTCCTACCATTGCCCCCTCCCCTTGCCCCTCTTCCACCCCCACCATCCCCCACTCTCCTGTCCCCTTATCCTCCCCCATTCTCTATTCCCCCCTCCCCTCGTCCCCACCATCTCCAACTCCCTCGTTCCCTTGTCCTTCCCACCATTACCCGCTCCCCTCTCCCCTCTTTTTCCCTCACAATCCCTCACTCCCGTCCCCTTGTCCTCAGCACCATTCCCCACTCCCTTGTCTGATGCATTCCTAAATGATCTGGTATTCTCTTCAGAAAATTGGGAAAATCAAATGATCTGATGTTCCCATCACTGAAAAATAAGAAGAACAGTTAAATCCCAAATGAAAAAAATAAAAAAATAAACTATACTCATGAAATGAAAGGAATGGTAAACAACAAAGCTCAATTCCAAGGCAATGCCAAACAAAATAATGAAATCAAAATGAAAATATATAGAAATCTATGAAATTTCTATTTATCAATGCAATCGGAAACACTGAAATTTAATCATAACATATTTAGTATAGCGAGTGTTGCTTTTACGTGCAACAGATGGCGCTGTTTTTCAAACAAAGCATGGATTTACCTGTCACAAGTATGGCATCTATATTTATACTCACAAAATGAACGGTATGGTAATCAACACAGATCAATTCCAACAAAATATCCCACAAAATAATTAAATCAAAATGAAAATAAATCGTGAAGAACTTTCGGAGATTACAGCGTGTGTTGCTCTTACGTCTAACAGATAGCATTGTTTTTCAAAAATAGAATGTTTTTTCCGGTCACAGGTGAGGCATGTATAAAGTAGGTATATAAAAACACGCGCCTATTCAAATGCAACGTTGTGTCAAAATTTCAAAGCAATCGGTAAAGAGGTTTCGAATATTTCACTCACATGTAAAACTCATGAAAAAAACAGTTTTTCAAAAAAACATGTTTTCTTCCGTCACAGACGTGACATCTATATAATATATATATATAAACCCGCTCAGATGCGAATGGAATGTTTTGTGAAAATTTCAAAGCAATCGATGAAGAACTTTCAGAGATTAGCGATTTTGAACAATCGAATGTTTCCATTTTTATTTATATAGATAATAGTTTTGCGTATGGTTAGGCGTCTTGTAGGTTAGGTTAGGTTAGATTAGGAGATTTGGTTAGGTTGGAATATATTTGTTTCTACAAAACATGAGTGAATGTGTTGGGAGAGTAGGTTGTCCTGGGAGAGTAGATTGTCCAAGAGTAGATTTTAATTACTCTTGATTCCAAGTGAATGATTCTGAGTGAATTATAAATGATTCTAAATTAAATCAAATTAGATCTCAATAAATGAATGAATGAAAGCAGTCCCATTAACTGCGTTCCTTGGGAGTATGGAGAGGGTTACGAGGAATAACATCCTAATGAACACCTTTAGTAATAACAACTCCAGTTCCCAGAACAGCTGGATTACAGAAGGGACACATGGTCATAATTCCATGGAAGACATTACACCACAGTAATCTGGTGACATTGTAATTTATTTACATAATTCTCACAAATACATATGTGTGTGGGCAAAGCCACAAGAGCCGTGACGAGGGTCCGAACCTACGTCCGAGAGGATCCCAGACCTTTGGTGCCGCGGCCATCGTCGAGGTGGAGAGTTCTGATGATACGCGGTTGTCTTTTACCATGTCGTAGCTCAGTCCATTAAGGCAGCGTCTGGGATCATCTCGGACGAAGGTTCGAATCCTCGTCACGGCCCTTGTGGATTTGTTCATTTGATGCATCACGCTATTGTGATTTCTGTGTGTAACATAAGTGTGGGGTTTTATACTGTGTTATTATGTTTGTGAATAGACATTACTATTACTTCCGCAGTATGATAATACACAGTATGATAATACACAGTATGATAATACACAGTACGATAATACACAGAATGATAATACATTGTATGATAATACACAGTATGATAATACACAGTATGATAATACACAGTATGATAATATGCAGTATGATAACACACAATATAATAATACACAGTATGATAATACACAGTATGATAATATACAGTATGATAACACACAATATGATAATACACAGCATGATAAGACACAGTATGATAATACACAGTATGATAATACACAGTATGATAACACACAGTATGATAATACACAGTATGATAATACACAGTATGATAATACACAATAATAATACACAGTATGATAATACACAGTATGATAACACACAGTATGATAATACACAGTATGATAATACACAGTATGATAACACACATTATGATAATACACAGTATGATAGAAGTGATGTATGCGACAGAGACAGGGGTTGGTCGCACACAGACCCTGGATAGGGTGTTAATATACAATAAATATTTCCTCTAAACAAAGACAGTCGGGCGTGATAGAGAGACCATGTTGTCCTCTTCCCCGCCTCCTCTGTCCATTCCATGTTCCCTTCCTTTACTTTCTCACTTCCTCCTGTCTTCCCCTCTTCCTCCTCCTTTCTTCTCGCTACCTGCGTCCATCTCCATGTCCCAACGGTCCCAGTCTAGCCTTCGAATATGTCTTTTTGCCCGCTCCGACCCCATTCCTGTCCATCCGTCTCCCTCTTCGTCATCGTCATTCCCTTTCCCGCCTTGCTTGACACTCATTACTATTTCTCCTTCCTTCCTTCTCCCAGCCCCGCAGACCATTTTCGGGTAGCAGAGATTGGGCAACTCATTCATATTTCCCAGACGACATTCCTTCACTCTTCACCAGACGACATTCCTTCACTCTTCACCAGACGACATTCCTTCACTCTTCACCAGACGACATTCCTTCACTCTTCACCAGACGACATTCCTTCACTCTTCACCAGACCTCATGTTGAGGCTCATAAGGCATATTCAGCCCTGCAATCACCTGTAACACTGCCACCACCGACAGGACCACCACCCCCTCCCCCCCCCCACCTGCAACACTGCCACCACCGACAGGACCACCCCCCCCCCCCCCCACCCCACCTGCAACACTGCCACCACCGACAGGACCACCCCCCCCCCCACCCACCTGCAACACTGCCACTACCACCTTCTCCTTCACTAACACACACGGCGGGAAGGTACACACTTTACTCTGCTGCATATTACGTATATATCTGGGCCGCAGTAAAATGTTTACGTGTGTGTGTGAAAAATCACCTATTTGGGAGTACTCACCTAGTTGTGCTTGCGGGGGTTGAGCTCTGGCTCTTTGGTCCCGCCTCTTAACTGTCAATCCACTGATGTAATGGTTCCTGAGCCTATTGGGCTCTATCATATCTACACTTGAAACTGTGTATGGAGTCAGCCTCCACCACATCACACCCTAATACATTCCATTTGTCAACCACTCTGACACTAAGAATGGGTTCTTTCTAATATCTCTGTGGCTCATTTGGGCGCTCAATTTCACGTGTGTTCCCTAGTGCGTGTGTCCCTTGTGTTAAACAGCTTGTCTTGATCTACCCTATCAATTCCTTTGAGAATCTTGTATTTAGTGATCGTGTCCCCCCCCCCCCTAACTCTTCTGTCTTCCACCGAAGTTAGGTTTAATTCCCGTAGTCTCTCCTCGTAGCTCATACCTCTCAGCCCGGGTACAAGTCTGGTGGCAAACCTTTGAACCTTTTCCAGTTTAGTCTTATGCTTCACTAGCTATGGACTCCATGCTGGGGCTGCATACTCCAGGATTGGTCTGACATAGGTGGTATACAAAGTTCTGAATGATTTCTTACACAAGTTTCTAAATGCAGTTCTTATGTTGGCCAGCCTGGCATATGCTGTTGATGTTATCCTCTTGATATGAGCTTCAGGGGTCACTGTGTGTGTGTACTCACCTATTTTTGCTTGCGTGGGTTGAGCTTTTGCTCTTTGGTCCCGCCTCTCAACTGTCGATCAACTGGCGTACAGATTCTTGAGCCTACTGGGCTCTGTCATATCTACATTTTATACTGTGTAGGGAGTCAGCCTCCACCACATCACTGCCTAATACATTCCATCCGGTCACTGTGAACACTGACTCGGTCACTGTGAACACTGACTCGGTCACTGTGAAGACTTGTTCGGTCGCTGTGAAGACTTGTTCGGTCGCTGTGAAGACTTGTTCGGTCGCTGTGAAGACTTGTTCGGTCGCTGTGAAGACTTGTTGGGTCACTGAAATCAGACTCGATTGTTTGAGTCGTGAGGAAAAGATTTTCTAGCTTTCTCCAATATTTAAGCAATCTTCTCAACATAGTGTCACAAAACTTACGTCTTCTTGCGGCAGTTAGAAGTAAATTTAGTCTCACAGCAGCTGCTGACGACACTCTGCTCCTAAGGTTTGCCACCAAATGCTTTGTTTTAGATCTTTTCTTGCAATTTTATTCGTCAGAGTAATCTTGACGCTACTCAAAGATTGGCTCGCTGACTTTCTCAACGTTGGCATATGAGAGTCACTTCAAATCCGATTGCTTGATAACAAAAAGATATTTCCAATTTTAATTTGGTACAATATATATGCAGTTTATCTCTAAAACCAAAGGCTTGCAACATATTTCCAATGTTGTATACTTGCAACATATCTCTTGTTTTGTATGCTAGCAATATGTCTCCAGTGTTGTAGGCTTGCAACATATCTCCAGTAATGAAAGACTGCAATATACTCCAATATTACAACCACTTGGGCTGGACGTGAAGCGACGGTCTCGCTTCATGCAGGTCGGCGTTCAATCCCCGACCGTTCAAGTGGTTGGGCATCATTCCTTCCCCCCGTCCCATCCCAAATCCTTGTTTTGATCCCTTCCCAAGTGCTATACACTCGTTTTCTACACAGACAATATATTTGGCGTTTTCTGGTAATTCCCTTCCATTCCAGTATTGAAGGCCTGTTGAAACCCATTTGAACATAATAGCTTTTTTCCATCTCTTGAGAACATGTTCTCATGTTCTTCACCCTAGACTCTCCATGTTCTCATGTTCCTCACCCCAGACTCTCCATGTTCTCGTGTTCCTCACCCTAGACTCTTCATGTTCTTCATGCACCCCTCCACAGACTCTCACTGTTATACACGTTGCTCACCACTAACACAGAACATTATTATCCCCCGCAGTGAGAGAAGCTGGTGGGGCGCGTCTCCAGTTGATCTCTGTCAGTCGGGAGGAGAGCGGCGCCTTCCTGTGTGTGGCCTCCAACGGGGTTCCTCCCGCTGTGTCCGCTCGCGTCGAGGTGTCCGTTAAATGTGAGTAAGATTTGTCTCGTTAAGTGTTAATTATATTGGTCTCTGATGCGTATGACAAAATCTAACCTGGGGTCTGTGTTTAACAAGTTAGTATCATTCTCTGTTAGTTACATTTTCTTATAGGATGAAATATTATTTCCCTATATTATATATTATTATAATATATTTCCCTATTGTGGAAATAATAGGGAAAGTTTTGCCCATGTCGAATTTCCTCTCTTTTAATTATCAGTAATTCGCGACTCCGTCAAGCGTAAGGAATATTAACTTTACGTAGAAAACTTACTAGAAACTTACTTAAACTTAAGCAACTTACTAGAAAACAATGTTTACATGATAATTTTTTAGACAAGTTCGGCGAACTATATAAATTAGTGTAAATTCTGAATCAAATCCAATTTTAGCAATTGTCGGGCAAGTGATGAATAACAAGAGCATAGCTGACATTAATGCCCAAAATTGTGTATTGATGCATGTTAATTTTTTAATTTTCGCAGCATGTTGCTGTCGCCCCGTATCTCAGTTTTCTAGCGAATGGGATAAAATTCAATTTACCTCAACATTTAGGGCCTAAAATTTTGCAATAATCCGATTTGGCTCCAATTTACAGCAAGTGATTCTAAGCTCTAAGGTAAACAACTTCCGAATTGATGCTTTAATTTGATCTCGTAAGCGAATTTGATCTGTATGTTGAGTGTGTAGAGATACTCTTCATTGACGGCCGGATTGTATTGACGTTAACATTACTATGGTCAATATTTACTACAATACAATACTGATGATGTCAGGTATAGTGATGATGGGGGAGTTGTGAGGTGAGTATGGTGTAGTGGTGAGGTCAAACGAGCAGGGGTAATGTGCCTTATAATGTAAGGAGTGCTGTATGGAGGGATGTGTTGATGACCATACAGATGAAAGTAGATATAAAGGGGCTGAGTGTGATGGGTGTGGTGAAGGAGGAGGAGGCTGTGTTGAGGTGAGCAGTAGTATTAGAGAGATATTGGTGGGAGATATCTGCCGAGATCGATAATAACATCGTGAGTCAAATCTTAGTTATGAGATAAGAAATGTCATTTCAGCTCTAAATTTGAGGTTGTGACGGTAACGCGTTGGTGTTCGGCTGTTCAAAGCTAGGGGTATGGCCTCGTCACATAGTATTAAAAAAAATAGAAAATCTGGAACTTCGTCTGTGGTAAGGTAAGGAGAAGACACACAAAACACAAGTAAACTTTAACAATGAAATTTTAATTACGTTAAATAAACAAAACATGAATAAAATGGACATACAAATTCGTATAATAAAATCAATCAATCAAAATAATAAGAATAATTTAAATGACAAAGTGAAAAGTTACGTTAAGACAAGTGAGCAATAACAAGAAGTGCAAATAACGTAAATATTGGTGCAGGAATATTGGCTTTAAGCTATCACCTCTCTTAGTACACGTAAGCCAAAGCTTTAGTCTACCAGGAAGAAGTGTTAACCGTATGAAAGCACTGAATATTCTGAGGACTGAGGTCGTGGCGGCCCCAGACATCAAGTAGTATGGTGGGTGAGTGTAGTAGCAGCTGGACCGGCGGCCAATCAGCGAGGAGCCGGCAACAAGACAGGTAGTTTGGCGGTTTGAGGTGAAGCAGGTGTTCTTGGCTGCATACGTTTTGCGCTCTGGCAAACCTTGGAGATGTTGTTGTCGTTGTTGGACATTTCTTCCATAGTAGTTTTATATAGATGTATCGACGTATTTTTGGAGGGAAGAGCAGGCTCAATCTCTTGAAGGAGATTATCGTCACAAGGTAAATTCGCAAACATGGTAGTTCATCTGAGCTAGAGACAGATGGTGGAGGAATATCGGTCTGTGACAGGTTCGCATATGCAATAACTGGACTGTGAAGAGCAAGATTGCTGAGCCCGTTCCATGATCATCTCACTCATAGTTACTGCACTTAACGTGATTCCACCAGGAATTTCCTTGCAGAGATGGTTGTGGATAATGTTAATTGAGATAAAAAATACCTGAGCGTCCCAGAAATATCACAGTTGTGTCATGGGGATGTGATCTAAAAGCACTATGAGTGATTAGATTCACAGACTTTGGGATGTGAGAAGCATCGTGCTTCTCACATCCCCCGGTACCCCTAGACACCCCGGTGCCCCTAAATACCCCGGTACCCCTAGATACCCCGGTACCCCTAGATACCCCCGTGCTCCTAGATACCCTGGTCCCCCTAGATACCCCGGTACCCCTAGATACCCTGGTCCCCCTAGATACCCCGATACCCCTAGATACCTCGGTACCCCTAGATACCCCGGTACCCCTAAAAACCCCGGTACCCCTAGATACCCCGGTACCCCTAGATACCCCGGTACCCCTAGCTATATGCGCTAACTGCCTAGAGTAATATAGTCATCTTAAACTAGTTTAGGAAGTCAGAAAACCATCTCATGATCATTGCGCGCATCCCAGAACATTTTATTCATATTTTAGTTACCTGAACACTTTTGTTAAGCCTAACGTTGCACAAACTGCAGTACCAATATATACCTTTTGCAATCAATCAGTATTTTATGTTGACAAGCGTCCAGCTGTTGCAGGCTGCAGCTGCATTGTGATGTATATTTAAGACAGTAATTGGTAATTCGTTAGCAAGTTTTATATTCCCGTAGGATTACTTGGGAGAAGACTGGTTCTTCAAGGTGACTCTAGTTTTGTTAACTAGAGGGCACATAGTAAGCAACCGACTTTAGTAACTATTAAACAAGCCCCGCCAATTCCCTCCAAACCAGCTAGTTGAACCTTTTAGCTCCAGCCAATCCTGTTTTAACAAGGAGACTGACACGCTGAATCAACATTGATATAAAGCAATGAAATGTTTACCTGAACCGACCAATCGCAACTCGCTGTGCTGAAACCTGTCAATTCCCAACGATTTTTTGTAACTTCAGCAAATGTGTTATTGGCAAACCGCGTTATATGCAGCGTTTTTATATAGGAAACGGCACTAAATTATCGTATATTTCGGCAAATATTTAAAAAATGTTCGTTCTTGCGTTACTCGTAATGGCATTACTTGTTTAGTTATTTTTAGGTGTCATTTTTGAATGTCAATACAAGATTAATAGTTTTAAAATTTATTTTCAAAATCATGATGTCATTTATTTCTGATTGCCCATTTGAGTATCGAGAGTGTATGGGGTGGAAACTACGCACTCAGTTGAGCCTTAGGAATGGAATAAAGCACTAGTTAGTTGATATGAAAACAGAAATAACATCTGGCAATCTCAATCCATAGATTCATGATTATGTGAGGTACGTGGACCAGGAATCATTGCAATCGATAATCGACTGAAAGGCGGAGCCCAGGAACTGAAGTTAGCTAATTTTCCAACACTTAATATGATGGCCATTTTGGTGAATCCTATCCAATATACCCTAAAATACAAATACTATGATCCAGTTATCTAAATTGTCTAAATTGATCACTTCTTTAATCCCTGTGGCAGGACATGAACATTTGTGCAACGTTTCTTTTCATCTTGTTTATCTGTTCACCTATCAGTGAAAATTGTACCTTAGAGTTAGACAACTACTGTGGGCTGCATCTGGAGGATGTGTGTGTGTATGTGCGCGAACGTGCGTACTTATGTAATTGTGCTGACAGGGGTTGAGATTTGACTCTTTTGTCCCACCTCTCATCTGGTGTACAGATTCCTGAGCCAACTAGGCTCTTTCCCGTCTACATTTGAAACTGTGTATGGATTCAGCCTCCACCACATCACTGCCTAATGCATTCCATCTGTTAACTACTCCGACACTGAAAAAAAATCCTTCTAATGTTTCAGTAGGTCATTTGGGTACTTAGTTTCCACCTGTATACCCTTTTGCGAGTACCACCCATGTTAACAAATGTCTTTATCTACCCTGTCAATTCCCCTAAGAATTTTTTATATAGAAAAATTGTCTCCCCTAACTCTTCTGTTTTCCAGTGAGGTGAGATGCAATTCACGCAGCCTTTCCTCGTAACTCATAGCTCTTAGTTCTGGAACTAGTCTAGTGGCATGCGTATGAACCTTCCCCAACATCGTCTGGCATACTCCGAAATTGGTCTGACATGTGTGGAATACAATGTTGTAAATGATTCCCTACACAAATTTCTATAGGAAGTTCTGACGATATCCTTTTGATGTGTAACCCTTCGAGTTAGACTAAATATATTTTTATGTCTACATTAGAGCCTTAGGTGGATGACGAGCACATCTGACAATAATTGAAGTCCCTGTTAGCGAACCCTTCTCTCTCATGTTTGGTCATTGTTATTTGGTCATAAAACACAAATAGATTCAATAGGCATCATTTTCCTTTACTGAGCCCACTTTGGTGTTCAGATACAATGCACAATTTATATATATATATATTCTCAAAGTGGTCTTCTGTTAATTCTCTTCAGCACCTTGTAGCGAAAGCTTATTAGTGAAACTAGTCTTTTGTTCAGTTTCTCTTGCCATCCTTCTTTTTTACCAATATATATATATATATATATATATATATATATATATAGTATATTTTGGCAGCAGTCTTTCCTGTAGACATATATTATTAAATATGACCGAAAAAGTAAGATTAATAATTCTAACACGAATTTTCTCAATCTTTCGTACATTACGCTTCACTGTTGGAGGTAAATCAAAAATCACTTCTCCAAAATTCATTTTTATTTCTAGTCTGACGCGACACGGGCGCGTTTCGTAAAACTTATTACATTTTCAAAGACTTCACAAATACACAACTGATTAGAACTTACGTATCTCTGATTTTATATCTACATTTGAGTGAGGTGGGAGGGGTGATGTGGCATTAACACAAGACAGAACAAGAGGGGATATTAATAGGGTATTAAAAGTATCAACACAAGACAGAACAGAAACAATGGGTATTGAATAGAAGTGTTTGTAGAAAGCCTATTGGTCCATATTTCTTGATGCTTCTATATTGGAGCGGAGT